ATAATTTCTTAATGACATTCTCAATTATAGCAAATCAACTTCCCTACCTCTTGAGATCTAAGTGATGTAATTATTTTTAGGAGCTAGTGTAAGATTGTTTCCCAAGAAATGCTTCTTATTCAAATAAATATTTTTGTTTGGTTTTAAGTTTTTATTTTTTATTTTTTTCAAATTAATTAATGTATTATTAGTGAATCTATTTAATACAATCCCATCTTTCTTCTCTATTTCAAAGAACAAGTTTATTGATATTTATCTATGCTATACGATTGCAAAAAAGCTTCTATGTGACTATTTTATTAGCCTTTTTAATTAATGTTTATTTAATTAGTATCAAATAGTTGGTTACTAAATCCAATTTTTTGAATTGCTTGCTCATTTAAATTTGTTCAATTATTGATTAATATAAGAACATAAAAAAATGGCAAGAAATGCATTTGATCCAGATATGAGGTGTCACTAGAAAATAGTATCCGATTTTTTGCTCAGATGGATCTTGTATTAATATGATTTAGTTAATAACAGCTCGGATAGAGCTTGAATTGAGTTGGGTGTAGACCGAATCATGCTAGTTCAAGATTCCATCAAAATTTACATGCATGCAAGTATAAATGCATCTATAGCCTTATGCTATATTTGTACCTATGCATGTATGCATTCAGGCTTATACATTACTATCTATCTAAAATATATATCAATGCATTTTTGTGTATGAGAGAAAACAAATTTCTCTTAAAAGACTGAGTAATATTTTTTTAAAAAAGGATTATTATTATTTACTCATATTGGGCTCAGCTTGAATAATAAGCAAGCAAGTCATGCTGAACTCAAATCGAGATTAGATTTAGCATGTCTATATCTAGGCATGACTTCCATCAAAATTGGAGCAAATTGCTCTAAATCACCCTTAAACCATGATCAAATTCACATCTAGAACAAGTTGTTAACAACATTACCCTTAATAAGCATTCCTAAAATCATCTCAAAGAGTTGATATGGGGTTAAAAAAAGTTAAAATAACTATTATTCTAACTAGGCACAAGTACAAAAATTTGCCCACAATAATGATATTTAAATAACAAAGAAACGATTATGCGGTGTTGATAAAATGCAGAATTAGCCAGTCTAATTTAGCTCCACATAACTTTGTAAGAAAAAAATACCTTTATGACATCTGCCTTGGCCAATGCTGGGACATGATAAGTAACAAAAAATGCGTTGTAAAATCCAATAGACCCTAGAAATTCGACCTCACTTGTAGTTCCAATAACAAGCATATTCTTTCCCTGTAAAAAAATTAACAAAAAAATTTCCTTTATCCTTAATATAAAATAGTGAAGGCATCAAAGTTCAATATGCAATAATAAAATTATATATGCATGATAAGTCTAGATATAAAACAACGAAATAAATGATTAATGATAGAAAAAATGAAAAAAAAAAAATATCCAGGACATAACATAGTGAAAGAATCCTAAAAAAATGACTTGCTCCAAGGAAGAAAGGTCATTGAACTAAGAATAAAAGACAAATACAAAATATCAAATTAATATAAAATGGTGCATATGTGGGTATGTTGTTGAAAATAATAATAATAATAAACAAAATATCCTCCCAGTTCATGAATGCAATTTCTCAATTCCTTTAACATAAGAAAGAATATGTATAAGGACTGCCAACCTTTGGAGGAAGACTTTCTAAATAGACATGCAAGGATTGTGTAATCAAATTTGAAAATCGAGGACCAACGGCAGCAAATTCCAGCAGCCTAAAAAATACATTATATCATTTAGAAACTTGAAATAGATATAACACCATGGACATTAAACGTACTTTTGAAGCAACATAAGCAAGGTATACTATCATGTACATTGATTAAGGGGAAAAAGCATTCCTTAATGAAAGCTATCATTAATAAATTTTAAAGTACATTGAAAATAAAATAATTGAAACTATATAAGACGGTGAGTCAAAATGCACGGTTCAAGAGCTGCCTTTCAATGTCATCAAGAATAATAAAATATATATCTTACTAGAAAGTTACACATGTCAATATTGCAAATGGAAGTGCTTTCATGTGCTATACAAAAATGCACCACTTTCAAAAAAATTCTTAACAAATACAAAATATTTTTCAAAATTTTTTGAACTTCATATAAGTAAAAGGCTTACACAGCTTATAGTATATATGAAGCATCCCATCGTCTCAAAGATCATGGATATAAGTGCAATACATAGAATTCGAACAACTAATTTATGTACCTTACAAACAATGTTCTACCCTAATTTGCTATGATATTGTAGATGAGTGAAACCAAAGATTGGTATATGTGTTACTTCTTAATATATTGAAATAGGTTTACTCATTCCTAGCAAGTTAATAGAATTTGGTGAAACTTATGAACCGTATACTCGTACATGAGACACGCACATGCATATACTAATATATATATGAGATGTTATCAAATCCAAGTAAGCTAACATATACTCAGAAAGCTCTTATATATTTCACATAAGGCAAGGCATGACTTTTTAAAAGAAAAAACTATCATGAAAAAAATAATAGTTCATTGAGCATAATATAATTTTTCATCTAAAAGTAAAAAATGTTACAAAAGTAGTGATACCTGCACCGTTGATCTGTGGAAGCACCAAATGAAATAATAATTTCATGAAGGCTATTCAAAAGATCATTTATGGTAACTTTTATGTTTTCTTCATTCAGTGCTTTGATGCGATCATCAATGCTTAGTTGTCTATTCAAGGCAAATGAAACTGCATCTTTTAAGATACCTTCTAGCTTTGCTCCGCTAAAATTCTTTGTCAGTGCAACTGCGTGTTCAAAATTAAAAGAGGATAAAAAGATCAGCAAACCTTCCTTTTTAATAACAAAATAGTCTATTTGCAAAAAAATTGTTCCAAAATAATAATCTAAATTCATCCAATACAATGTCTAAGAAAACAAATAGAAAAAAAATGAAATTATACAAGTCATCATAGACAAATGGACAAACAAAAAAATAAACAAACAAATCATCATTGTTGAGGGATAGATTGGATTAGAGGGGAACTTCATGAAGGGGCTCAAATTAGAGATAAGACCTGCGGTGAAGGTCATGAGGCCTCGTGACTTGAGAGAGGCCATGGAGTTGGCATAGCTTATGGAAAATCAAAGAATCAAGAGAGGGGAGCCATGAGCGGCAATTGAAGAGGCACTTACAGGATGTTGACCACTCTTTTAGCACCAAAGGGTCTTGCAACAGGAGGATTTCATGAGACTACCGGGGAGAAACTGGTAAGAGAAGGAAGTAGGGGAAATTTTAAGAGGCTGATGGAGGAGATGCAGGAGAAGAGGGCTGATTAGAAGTGCACTCCAGGGCATAGGTGTAGAATCTGAACTCTTTAATTAGGTTCTCACTATTTGTAATGACGATAAAACTGAGGGAGGTGAGGGTGAGGTAGAGAGGGAGATGGAGGAGAAGGTGCACTTGGATGTGACGGAGGTATCCCAAAACGCAGTGGTAAGATTCACCCCAAATCATACTATGAAAGTGAAGGGAGAAATAGCATATATGGAGATGGTAGTGCTGATCAACAATGGAGCTACCCACAACTTCATCTCCATGTAGGACGTTATGGGGTAATGATGGGTATAGGGAAGGTTGAAATGGACTAGGGGATCTCTAGAGGAATAGTGATGACTATTCAGGGGGTTCAAGTGAGGGAGAATTTCTTCTCATTGGAGCAAGCTAGGGAGCACTGATGTCATCTTGGGAATGAAATGGTTGTAGACTTTAGGGGACACCAAGGTCAATTGGGGGGCATTGAAGATAGAGCTGGTGGTGGAGGGGGAAAAAGTAGTGATAAAGCAAGATGCAGGGCTCTGAGGCCATGATTTCACTTAAAACAATAGTGAGGAGCATAGAGGAGGTGGGGGAAGGTTACCAGGTGGAACTACACATGTTGGAAGGGATCATAATGGAGGAAGAAGGGGAGATTCCTATTTTAGTACAACCACTAATTCAACAATTAGTAAGGCTTTTCAGCCACCTCAAGGATTGCTAAGGGAGCACGAGCATATTATCACATTGAAGGAAGGTGTGTCACCCATCAACGTCAGACCCTATCGATACTCTCAATTTAAGAAGGATGAGATTGAAAAGTTGATTAGAGAGATGTTGGAAGCAGTGATCATCAGGCCCAGTTTTAGCCCTTTTTTATCCCAGTGCTACTAATTAGGAAAAAAGATGAGAGTTGGAAGTTTTGTGTTGACTACAGGGCATTGAATAAGAGAATGGTAACATATAGGTTTCCTATACTAGTTATAGATAAGCTGCTGGATGAGTAAAATGGGACAGTTATCTTCTCTAAGATAAATCTGAAATTAAGATACCACCAAATTAGGATGAAAAGAGAGGATGTGCTAAAGACTGCTTTTAGAACTCATGAAGGGTATTATGAGTTCCTAATGATGCCATTTGACCTCACTAACGCCCCAGCCACCTTTCAGTCCCTCATGAGCAACGCTTCAGGCCTTATACCTAAGGCGGTTTGTATTGGTGTTTTTCGACAACATCCTGATTTACAACAGGACAGGGGAGGATCACTGGAAGCACTTGAGGAGGGTGCTAGAGGAGTTGTAGAAGCACCAACTGAGGGCAAATTTGAAGAAATGTTGCTTTACCCAGAACAGTGTGAAATACTTGGAGCACATTATCTCTAAAAAAGGGGTGGCGACGTATCATGCTAAAATAGAGGTTATGTTAAAGTGTCCAATGCCCAAAAATCTTAAGGAGATTAGGGGATTCCTAGAATTAGCAGGAAACTATAGGGTCTTTGTGAAGGGGTACAACACCATAACATGGCCACTGACAGAACAGTTGAAGAAGGATGAGTTCTTATGGGGAAAGGCAGCCACAGCTGCTTTTGAGAGTTTAAAGAAGGCCATGGCCACTGTACCGATTTTGAACATACCAGATTTCACCCAAGTTTTCATAGTAGAGATAGATGCCTCATGATATGAATTGGGAGAAATTTCATGCTGGGGCAACATCTCATTGCTTATTTAAGCTAGGTATTGAGAGCTAGGGCCAAACTAAAATCATTATATGAGAGGGAGCTAATGGCCATTGTGTTAGCCATCCAGAAGTGGCAACCCTACTTGTTATAAGTAGGCACGTCATCGTCAGGACGGATCAGCAGAGTTTGAAGTACTTGCTGGAGCAAAGGATGGTGACTAAGGAGTATCAGAGCTGCTGGGGTATGACTTAGAAATACAATATAGACCAGGCATGGAGAACAAGGCAGCAGATGCATTTTCCAAATGCAAGGGGAGTTGTAGGCGATAGCAATCTCGATCCTGTTGATGCTAGATTGGAAGGTCATCAAGAAGGAGAGTGTACAGGATAAGGAGTTGGGAAGGATTAGGACAGATTTGTTAAAGGAAGGGAATAGCCATCCAGGGTATTCTCTAGATGGGGAGAGGTTGTTGTATCAGAGGAGATTCGTACTGCCTAGGAGATTCGTCCACATTCTTTACCTACTCCAGGAATTCCATGGGAGCGCAATTGGGGTCCATTAGGGGGTGCAGAAGATGTACATGAGACTTGCCTTAGAGCTATATTGGAAGAGAATGCACAAGGATGTGGAGGAGATGTAGCCAGATATGAGATATATCAGAGGAACAAGTACATGGTCATGTCTCCATGATGATTGCTACAACCTTTAGCTTTAACAGGATGAATGTGGAAGGAGGTATCAATGGATTTTATAGATGAATTACCCAAATCAGAGGGATTCATAGTTATCTTGGTGGTAGTGAATAGATTGAGCAAGTATGTTCATTTAATTCCCCTACGACATCGCTACACCGCCGTAACAGTGGCATCAGCTTTTTATCAAGGAGGTGGTCCGCTTGCATGGGATATCGGAGTCCATAGTATCAGATCGGGAAAAGGTGTTTCTCAGCCATTTTTTGGAAGGAGTTATTCAAGCTACAGGAGATAGTACTGAAGAGGAGCATTGCTTACCACCCACAGGCAGATGGTAAGACAAAAGTGGTCAATAGAAGCTTGGAAACATATCTACAATACTTTGTGTCGGAGACACCCAGGCAGTGGGTAAAGTGGTTGGCATCGGCGGGGTATTGGTACAACACTTCATATCATTCTGCTTCTCAGATGGCCCATTCAAGGTGTTACATGGAAGGAATCCTCCTCACTTGATACATTTTGGGCATAAAAGCACCTAAGTTTCATCAACATAGGAGTATTTGGAGGAAAGGGACCGGATGTTGGAAAAAGAGGTATTTACTGAGGGCCCATCAAATTATGAAGAAAAGAGTATTCTTAAAACTACGACCTTACAGCCAAAAGACCGTCGCCAACAAGAGGAATGAGAAGCTTGCACCAAGGTATTTTGGGCTTTTTGAGGTATTGGAGAGGATAGGAGAGGTGACATACAAGCTGAAGTTGCCTTCAACAACAAACATACACCTGTTTTCCACGTTTCACAACTAAGGAGGGTGATTGGGGAGCATGCAACCAGTTCTGAGCTACCAGTGACATTAATAGAGGACTTGGAGGTTAAACCCTTTGAGTTACAAGGGGTGCGCAAGGGAGAGGGAGGGGTAAAGGAGATGTAGATCAAGTAGAAGGATCTTACAGATTATGAGGCGACATGGGATCCTTATGAGAGGGTAAAGTATCAGTTCCCCTCCTTTCACCTTGAGGACAAGGTGGTTCTTTGGGAGGACAGTATTGTTTGGCCGGTTCAGCTTAAACCGGCCCTACTAGCTCTCATTTACAGGAGGCGGACAAATGTCACCTCCTTTGCGCTGGTGCAGGCTAAAAACAATTAGGCCCCACTAAGAACCAATTAGAGAAGGGGGGGATTTGAATTAGAGAATTAATGTATTAAAAGTATGAGTTGTTTAGGGTTAGTGTTATGCATGTTTTGTTACTGATTTTGGGAGTTCTTGTCTTGGAGTCTTGGGCCCTTGATTTCATTTACGGATTGGGAGAGAAGATCCTCCTCTCGAATTGAGGATCAGTTGTATCTTGTTTCGTTTCTTCGTTCCAGTAGATTTTCTTCAATCAAATGTGCTATTTTGCTAAAATTTCCCATCCAAATCATGTTCGTTTATTGTTTTCTTCTCATGAACTCATGCATTTTTAAATAGTGGATAATATTTTTAGATAGGCATAATATTTTCTTTCTCATGAACTCATGCATTTAATTAAGATATTTATAATTCTTACTCTTTTATAGGCAAAAGATATGTATTATTTTTATAAAATTATATCAAAAATAATTCGCAATGATTTATCTCACTCTTGCAAATGATCTTTTATATTGCAATGAATCTTGTATGCCCCATGTTATTTCAATTATAAGTAAAGCATATACAATCATATGTATTGTTCCTTACAAATTGATATCATATATTTAGGAGAATGAAAATGAAATGATAAATATAAATGCTTGCTTGTGCATTTTGAAAAGATAGAATTAGTCCTCTTATAATACTAGCTAGTGATGCTAATAGACTATTGAGTCGATGACTTCAACTTTTCCACCATAGTACAAAAAAAGTATGACATGGGGGAAGTAATGAGTTCGACTCGTTTCCACCATAAGTAATAATAAACTTATTAGCTATGCTCAGTTGTGCCAATGGGGGATGTATCAACTAGTGGTGAGTTATGTGATATGTCGGTTCCTTTTGTATATAGGAGGCGGGTCAAACCACCTCCTTCCTACACCGCCTAAGGGAGGGGCCCACACTCAATTTGTTTGGATTTATTTAATTAAAAAAGATTTGATATCTTTTGTGTTAAATAATAATATCTTATATTAGAAAAGTGGATTTAATTAATTAAAAAGATTTGATATCTTTTGAATTAATACTATCTTATATTATTAAGTTTTTAAGGAGGTGAAGATGGCTATTTAAAGGGCATGAAGGGGTTAGGACTAGGCATGCTTTGGTTATTGTCTTCTTGTAGTCTCTTTGGCGTTTTGGGCTCTAGTCTAGAGATTTGGGAGAGACGATCCTCCTCTCGAATAAAGGATCAATTGTATATTTTATTCTAGCTTATTTTACTTTGAGTATTTAATCAGGTTCTATTATTTTCTTGATTGTTTCTTCTCCGATCTTGGGTATTCTTGTTGTTTTTTACAATTTCGCATTAGGATTGTTTGCGAACTCAAGTAGATCCAATGGGATTACTTGCGAACTCAAGTCTTCCTATCATTATGCTTTTATTAAAAAGGTGCTTTTGAAAGGGATGTGTTAAGAATAAGTTATGATATGATAAGTTTCAACTCATACTCATGTTATTAATGCTACATTGAATGACCTCTAAATAATATTCTACTCATCATATTACTAAAAGAGGAAAGCTAAGTTTTCTTAATAGTTAAAATGATGACTAAAATACAAATTTAAACAACACATACAATAAATAAGTTTACCATTCTACTTTAGGACTCAAATATATAATCATTGATGGACATACCGAGCTCCTGAAGATTTACATCTGCAGCTAGAAAAGAGTTTTCTTTCATTTTATTTGTGTGGATTTGTAGGATCTGGAGACGTCCATTTTCATCAGGAAGGTTGAACTCAACATGAATCTCCAATCTCCCAGGCCTATATATTAATAAAAGTTATAAAATTTAAAAGTAATTAACAAAGGATGAAAAAATAGCATGTTTCCACTTGTCAAAATCTATAACTATTTCAATACAATAAAACTCAAAATAAGTCACAAATTATTTAATCTAATAACTTAAAGAAACCAAAAAATAACACAAAGCTATCAACGTAAACATGACAAATAGGTAAGTAAGCATTTTGTTTTAAATTGATTAACACTAGATATTTTGGTGATAAATGCATTGGATGGCCACTTTCTCAACAATAGGAAGTTTGATGAAGTTATTTTTCACTTTTTATTGGTCATTTTGCCTATTTCTTCAGTATTGGCTCTTTTGCATTCTTTTTAAAAATATTTTATACAATTTAGTAGTATTCAACTACTAAAATTTTCTTCTTCTAATCCTGAATTTACCACCTTTTAAGTGTGATTATTAATTCCATATGATTCGTGGTTCCATATGTAGCATATCATTAATCATATTACTAATTTTTTAGGGAAAAAAGGAAAATGTTCCTATTTCTAGTTATTATATATAATGTTTAAAGAATAAGGCTTTTCAAAGTTTCTATGTAATAAATATTGCTATTTTTCTTAACTTCGCACACTGTAAATGTCAAGGCTGAGGTAATGTGTAAAATTTTCAAATTATAATTTTATTTAAAATAGTTTTTGAGAATTTTTTTTCATGTTAAATTTTGGGAATTTGATCCTTATATTAAGAAGGTGAAAGCACTGTGTTTTGCCACAAGTGAATCCAAGCTTTAATAGAGCCTTTCAATTTAATAAGCATAATGTGCAAGAAGACAAACTAGTCTATATGGTAGTGATATACCTTAATAATGCTTCATCCATTAAATCTCTCCTGCTGGTTGTTCCAATGAGGAGGATATTTTTTAAGACCTCAACCCCATCAATCTGTAATGCAAACAATTAGCCTATAAGAAAGTTCAAAGGAATGATATTTTAACTATTCTTAGTAGAATTGAGCTTGTGAAATATCACCTTACTGAGTAACTGGTTCACAATACTTTCATAAACACCATAATCATTCCGTGTCGACCCTCTAGGCTGTCAAGGAAAAAATAATAGCCCTCTTAAGATAACGAAATTTTGAAAGGTAAGGTTGTGAGGAATACTTAACAAAATACCTAAAATACATGTGAAATTCAAATTAAAATTCATAAATCATCAACATTAGGCTCATTCCAACTTTGGGCCCATTGTTAAGAATCCTTGTTGAAGCCATGCATAAATTTGACAAAAGTGATTTTCCATAAATTTGCCAAAAGTGGTAAAAAACAAATCATAAGGATATTGCAATTTGCTCATACCTTACAAATAATAGCATCAATTTCATCAAATATGATGACATGTAAGTCACTTTGATCAACTGAATGCAAATCAAATGAGAAACAATTATATAATAGATAATATTATTGCCATCGAATTCATCTATAGTATTAAAAGGTTAGTTCTTTACCTCGTGCCCTTTGTTCTTGTTCTGTATCTGCAAATAAATCCCTCACATTTTTCTCTGTTTGTCTAACGATAACCTGAACAGAGCTGGATCTAGGGATTGCAAACTTCTGAAAATCGCAGGATGAGCAATAAGCGTAGTTGGTGAACGTGAGCTTCTTTTTCGGCGTGTTCACAACGATCATTATAAATGACTGGAAAGCCAGGAGGGAGCTCTTGGAGTCGCGAACTGATAGCGAAGAGGGATGTCACGCCAATGCGGAGAGGATCCTGGAGTGCGAATGCTTGGAGAGATCGAATCCTCTTTTCTACGCTACTGCCTTCGAACAAATCAACTATCCCGTCTCTTCAAAACATTAATCAGGCTTCTGCCCGCTGAATCACGCGACTGTATTAGTTCTAAAATGAGCGTGTCTGTGCACCGGCTAACGACAGACCGGGACTTTCGAGGCAATCAATGAAGCAACCCGCAGTATAGAAAAACTAAACAGAGAAGTGAATAACAAAGAAGAAGAGAGACGAGAGGTTAGAGATGAAATCTGCTTAAGGAAATGTATTTCATTCAGCTTCAGTATTGTTCTTAAGGGGCTGTTTGGAATGCGGATTTAGGCCTGATTTAAGTCCGGATTTGGGCGAAATCCAGCCAAACGGCCAAAAATACAAAATCAAATCTCACGGTAAATGAAAGCTGCGGTTGACGGAAAATTCCCTCTTTTTGTGGTAAATCCCGGATTTACGAAATCCTTTGGTTCGGTGGATTTGGCCGAAGAAGCGCGCGAAAGGGAGAAAGTTACCTTCACAGCAAGCGAGCTCCCGTTGTTGCTTCAGATAAAAAAAATGTCGTAAAATCCGATCCAACAGAAAGGTAATGTCGTCGAAGGAGCAAAGTCGAACGCCGACGATGAAGAACTCGTGAAAAATTCTACATTCGTGTGCAAAGGAACAAAGTCGAACGAAATGCATGAGGGAAAAGGTAAAACCTAGATATTTCTAATTGTTGGATAATTTAATTAATATAATTAAAAATATTAATAATTAAGTGAAATTAATTAAATAATATTTAAATAATTAATAAAATTATTAGTTAAATACTTAATTATTTCAAAATAATTAATAAGATTAAATATGATCTAAAATAAAAATAATTATTATAAAATATTATAAATAATAATTAATTAAATAATTAGTATTAATAAAATATTGTTATATTTGATTTAAACTTTTCTTAAAAGCACGACAAGAAAAGTTTAAATCAAATATAACAAAATTTTGTAAACCTAAAAGATTTAACTGGATTTATCATGAATGTTACCAAACAGTTTTCAGGATTTAACCACCCAGGATTTTGTAAATTCGTATTTGGAGGATATACGAAATCCTACTTAAATGAAATCCTAAATTCTACCAAACAGCCCCTAAGGGTATACGAAGAACCGAATATTCGGTTAGTTACAGATAGCTGTGAGTGTGATCGTGGCCATGAGCTGAAATAATTCCCAGCTGCAGGTAGTGGAGCAGTATTAATAAGAAGGCTTGCTTATGGTTAGAGCTTATCATTGTTGCTAATAATCAAAACCATTCATTTCAGGAACTCAAAACTCTATGGCTAAAAATAATAATAATAATAATAAATAAATAAACTCTATGGGGATGTTGGGATACACATTAAATCTCACATCGCCCGTCTCTCTTTTTGACGTATGTAGTCTATCCTGGAGTTCGGCGGATTTGGCCGAAGAAGCGAGTAAGGAAAAAGGGGAAAATTTTTAAAATATGCTTTGAAATTGGATATTAGCAAAAGAAACGTGATGGGAATTAAATTTAAAAAGGATATTGCAGTAGATGATAGTTTTTTCAAATAAAACGTAATAAGAGTTTGTATTTTTTTTAATAAAATGCACATAGCAATAGGGATTTCTTAAGAAACACAAAATATGATAGATTAACTATTAGGTTAAATTGTTTTTAAAATAAAACAAATTGATTGATTAAATTTAATATTGAAGTATATTTAAATAAAGAAATATATTTAAAATGAATTATTAGACAACTTTTCTTGTTTTTCTAAATATTTTTTCTTAGGTTTTAAAAAGTACAAAAAATTAAATATAAGAAAAATGAACTTATTTTCGGATAGTGACAAGCATTCTTAAAATTATAAAGAAAATAATAAAGAATAATTACATATTTAATGAAGGAAATTTTTTAAGAATAACTCGTTTAATAATATATGAATACAAAGTGGATTGTAGGAAAATAAAAAATGTAACAAAAGTTCAACACAAACATAAGCCCTTTAAACATTTCTGAGCACGATGCATAGGTGAGCTTAGAGTTAGGTTTGAGTTGGACAGCATTTGAAGTGGCCTTGAAACTCATGTTTTGTTATTTAAGTGTATTAAAAGATCTTTTAAAATCTAAATGTCTAAAACCCTCTAAAAGGAATCACGCTTTAGGCATGAAAACCTTAATTCATTTAAATTAAATTAATTCTAAAATTTAATTGATCAAAAATAAATTTTAATCAATTAAATTAATTTAGTTTAAATGAATTAGAATTTAATTTCAATTTTTATGAATTTTATTATAATATTTAGAATATTAAACCGTTTATTGATTTTTTAATGATTTTTAATTAAAAGTCGATGATTTATTAATGAAATTAAATTAGAAAATTTATCACAAAATTTAATTTAAATTAGGTAGATTAATCTCTTAATTTTATTTGAATTAAAACAAATAAATTTTAAACATTTTTTAGACTTATTATTATTATTTAATTAATTATTAAAAGAAAATGGATTATTTAATGAATTATTAATGGATTAATAATTAAAATTATTTAAATATTTTATTTTAATTTAAGTAATTATTCTCTGATTTTAATTGAATTTAATTTAATTTTTAATGAGTTTTGGGGTTTATTTATTATACTTAATTAATTATTATTAAAATTGTTTAATTAATGAATTATTAATGAATTTTTATTAGAAAATTATTTAAGATTAAATTTAATATGTTTCTGATTTTTATTGTATTTATCTTATATGTTTGATATTGTTTGAATTTTATTGAGTTGAGGTATTTAATTAATTAATGTTTAATTAAGGATATTTAAGAATATAATTAGAGTTTAGAAGGGTTTAAATTTAAATTTGATTTTAGATTGATTATTTACTTAAATTAGAGTTCATTGGGATTTATTTGAGTTTTTAAATAATTTTATTTAAATTATTATGATTTGTTTAATTAAAGCTTAATTAAAAGATGATTAAGGGTTAATTAATGTTTAATGAAAATTGGATTTTTTTTAGTTTTGATTTTAAATGATTGTAGTCTTGATTTAGTGTTGATTGGAGTTAATTAAGGTTGATTAGATTTTTAGGAATTTTATTCGAATTATTTGGATTTATTGAAAATTAAGACCCTTTAAGAAGGGTCACCTAAATCTAATAGTTATTTGAAGGTTGATTAATGTCAAAATGAGATATATTACATTAAGGGGTTTATGACATATGTTTTCTAAGTTTGACGGAGGGCGTTGCGAGGGATCTCAGCAACTTGTGGTTGGGCAGAGTCTTCTGGGAGATCCGGGAGAATGCGAGGCTGTCGAGTTGAGGGTGGAGGATGTGTAGAACTTGCTGTATCGGCAAGTTCGTTATCCTGATGTATTTGCCTTCTTGGGGAAGGAATTTCTGCTTGAAGATGCTCGAATTGAACATCTTCAATCCGTGGTGGATCTCGAGGGAGAAGCACTTCCTCCCTTTATGGTAGTGTCAGTTGCCGCGTCTCTCGCAGGTGTTGAAGAATTTCATTCTGAGATTCTTCTATCTTCCGGATTCTTTCTTCTAAAGAAAGTCCCAAGGTTCCTTCTCCGGCAGCATTTTGCCCCCTAGGATGAAAAGAGGTAGACATCAGGCGTCTGTGATTCACATACTGATTTCTGGATTGGTGGGAGTTGGAGCGTGAAGCTCCAACAATGCGACTGCTACATCTGTTGACCATAGTAGCAATACTTAAAGTTGTGGGATAGTAGTTTCCCACAGACGGCGCCAAACTGTTGCGGGTTAGAATATGCGCGGCGGTAGAGTTTAGAAATTCACGTCCGAGCATTGCACGAATATTCAGCACACAAACAAAAAAAAATGAACACAAGGATTTTTACGTGGAAAACCCAGAAGAGGGAAAAATCACGGGGTCACGCCCAGCAGAAAAGTTCCACTAGTATTTTTGTAAATTACAAGAAACTGATTCGTCCCACAAATCGGGACGATCAAATTACAACTTGAAGCAAATTTACAAAGTTTTACAGAATCCCATCATTTTTCGAAAATCCGGCAGAGTTTCAGAGTATTCAGGTGGCAGGAAGAGCTCCGGCGGTGGTCGAGGAGGAGAGGATTCTCCTTTTCCCCTTTCTCTTCTTATGGAGTGGCATGACTTGTAAATAGGTGTGAGATCAGGGGCAAATAGGGAGTGGTCGAATGGACGGTTGATGTTGATCCCTTCGATCGTACACCGTTCGTTGGACATTTGAAGGCCTTAGTGATGTCGGAATTTGACGATCTTGGGATCGTTAGATTCGTCTCATCGAGCCGTTCAATTCGAGTATAAGCTCGTTAAACTTGGAGACTCTTTGGTAACTCAAATTGTGGTTTGAACCTTCCAACAGCTCTTCGGATCCTTGATTTGGACCCATTTGGGCTCGGATTGGGTTGAATTTGGTGTCATTGGGTTCGTATTTCTGAGACGCTCAGTTTGACTGTAAGCTCGCTGAAATCGGAGTCCGGGTGCTTCCGGATTTAATTTTTGAAGTTTTCGGGTTGGTTTTGCATCAAGATTCGTGCCCAATCAAGATAATTTCGTATCAAATATAAAGATCTAACATCAAAGCTTCTTAGGATAACATAAAAATTAGATGCCTTTACACTCCCTCGCCATATGTACGTTTTACCACTCTTCATCAGAAAGACATGCTTGACTTATTTGGTTGCTCCTTCAAGATTAAAATAACTCTTGAAAAGGGAGGAAAATTTCGAAAGCATCAGTTAAAAGTAATTGAAACTCATAATCAATATCAAACACTCAAAGCTGACTCAAAATTTTCACAAAATTAATATCATTTAAACTTAAAATGAGAGGGAAAAAAATCATAACAGAAGAGATAGGCTTAAAAAGATTTGATCATAAGAAATTACAAAAGAATTTTTTTATTAGATGTATATGAGAATTTTGCTCTATATATTTTACCCATATTATAAAATAAAAATTTAATATTAATATTATTATTATTATATATTTCTATCTAAAAATAGTGATAACGAGCCCTCAGCAAATTCATTTTGTTACAGTAAATAAACAGAGGACCCGATTTTTTTCTTAAATTTTTTATAGAGCTTTTTCTTACCTTTATACACTCTACAAAATGCTCAGAATCTATCAACAATCTTCAAACTAGAATTTAGTATAAATTATCGAGGTCACCATAAGGTCAGCCTGTAGTTATTGTAGCTTTTTTTAGTTCTACAGATAGATGGGTAGGTTCTAAGCATAGAATTTAGGTTTCATTTAAGACAATTTTTTTATTGTTTGTAAAGAAATTTTATTGTACAAAAATTTCAAATTAAAAAAAAATCAAAAAACTACTTCATAAAACAGTAAAAAATTATCCCTAATAAAGCCTTTGATTTTGTTTGGCATATAACTTTTTTGCTGCTTTCTAAAATAATTTTTTAATTTAAAAAAATTTACTAAAAAGTTATTTTAAAAAGCAAAAAAAAAAAAACTATCCTTAAAAAGATAAAAACTAATAATATTTTCCTTGATACAGATTTGCAGTTAAAAGCTGGAATCCAATTTGCTTTATCCTCTGAATCTTAATC